AAGAGCTGATAAGAATAAAGGGAATTATTGCCTTGATCTAAAAATGTTTTAAAATTGTTTTCACTTATTTATTCTTTTATACTGAAAGCAGTCCAGCTCTGTAAAAAGTGAAAACAGTATAGAAGTGTGCAAAGTTCTTAAAAGTTCCCTCCACCCCCAGCTGCCAGCTTCCACTGCCACTGCTCATCCCAATGTTGGTAGAACTCCCGGGGGTCCCTGAGGGAAGCTTTAATGCATCTACAAATGTCCTTTTTCTTTTTCTTTTTTTTTAAGTAGGCTTCACTCCCAGTGTAGGGCTCCAACTCATGATCTCGAGATCAAGAGTCGCATGCTCTACCAACTGAGCCAGCCAGGCCCCCTTTCCTTTAACAAAAGTAGGATTACCATAATAAACTTCCTGTTCTGCAACTTGCTGTTTGTTTGTTTGTTTGCTTATTTATTTATTTATTTATTTATTTATTTATTTATTTATTTATGATTTTTTATTTATCCATGAGAGACAGAGGCAGAGAAACAAGCAGAGGGAGAAGCAGGCTCCCTGCAGGGGAGCCTGATGCAGGACTCAATCCCAGGACCCCAGGATCACCACGTGAGCTGAAAGCAGACACTCAACCACTCAGCCACCCAGGCGCCTCCGCAACTTGCTTTTTAAATTTAACAGTTTTCAGAGTGCTTAGCTGGCTCAGTCAGTAGAACAAGTGACTTCATCTTGGGGCTGTCAGTTTGAGCCCCACATTGGGTATACAGATTATGTAAAAATAAAATCTTAAAAAACAAAATTTCACAGTTTTTCTCAGCTTTTTTTTAACTGAAGCTTTATTGAAATATAATTCACAAACTGTACAGTCCATCCATTTAAAGTGTACAATTTGGGGTGCCTGGGTGGCTCAGTCAGATAAGCGTCTACCTTCTCAGGTCATGATCTTGGGGTCCTGGGATCAAGCCCCACATCTGTCTCTCTGCTCAGCGAGGAGTCTGCTGCTTCCTCTCCTTCTGTAATCTCTCTCACTCTTTCTTTCTCTCAAATAAAATCTTTAAAAAGGTGTACAGTCCAGTGGGTTTTAGCATATTGACAGTCATACAACCAACACCAGTTTGAGAACATTTTGGCCAACTCCAAAGAAACCCATTAGCAATACTCATTCCCTCCTCTATGTCTCCCCTTCCCCATCCTTAGGCAATCACTCACATACCTTCTCTCTATATAGATGTACCTTTTCTGGATATTTCCTATAAATGGAATCATTCAACATGGGGTCTTTTGTGGTTATTCTTTTACTTAGCCTGATGCTTTTAAGGTTCATTTAAGTGTTGGGTTCTTCACTCCTTTCTGTGGCTGCATTGCATTCCCTTGTGTGGATACATTTTGTTTATCCATTCATTAGTTGCTGGATACTTAGCTTGTTTCCCCTTTTAGCTATTATGAATAATACTTCTGTGAACATAAGTATACAAGGTTTTATGTGGATGTTTTCATTTCTTTTGGCTGTATACCCAGGAGTGGAATTATATTGTAATTCTGTGGTTAACTTTCTGAGGAAACAAGTGCCAGACTATTTTCCAAAGTGGTTGCACCATTTCACATTCCTACCAACAGTGTATGAGGGTTTCAGTATCTCTGTACCATGCCAACATTTGTTATTTTCTCATTTTTAAAAAAAATTATATCCATCCCAGTGGGTGTGGTTTTGACTTGCATTTCCCTACTGACCAATGATGTTGAGCATTTTTCAACTGTTTATTGGTCATGAGTATATCTTCTCTAGAAAATGTCTGTTCAAGTCCATTCAAGCCCTTTGCCCATTTTTTTATTTAGGTTGTCATTTTATTGTTAAGTTGTCTATGTTCTTTATAGACTTATAAAGAACTCCTCTCTTATCTGCTCTATGATTTGTGAAGGTTTAATCGTTCTCTCGTTCTCTCGTTGCTATCTCGGTGTCCTTTGAAGCACCAGTGTTTAGTTTTGGTGGTGCTTAATTTATCTTGTTCTTTTGTTGCTTGTGTTTTTGGTATCGTATCTTTTTTTTTCATATCTTTTCTTTAAGATTTTATTCATGAGAGACACAGATAGAGATAGAGATGGGGGGGGGGGTCAGCGGGAGAGGCAGAGACACAGGCAGAGGGAGAAGCAAGCTCCATGCAGGGAGCCTGATGTGGAACTTGATCCCAGGACTCCAGGATCACACCCTGGGCCAGGGGCAGGCGCTAAACCGCTGAGCCACCCAGGGATCCCCATATCTTTTTTTTCTTTTAAAGATTTTATTTATTTATTCATGAGAAACAGAGAGAGAGAGGCAGAGACACAGGCAGAGGGAGAAGCAGCCTCCCTGTGGGGAGCCCGATATGGGACTTGATCTTGGGACTCTGGAATCACTCCCTGAGCCAAAGGCAGACGCTCAATCACTGAGCTACCCAGGCATGTCTCTCTCTCTCTCTCTCTCTCTCTCTCTCTCTCTCTTTTTATTTTTTAAAGATTTTATTTATTCATGAGAGACACACAGAGGGAGGCAGAGACATAGGCAAAGGGAGAAGCAGGGTCCTCGCAGGGAGCCCAATGTGGGACTCTATCCATGGACTGGGATCATGCCCTGATTCAAAGGCAGACGCTCAAGTGCTGAGACGTCAAGTGCTGACACCCAGGCGTCTCTGGTATCATTTCTAAGAAGGCTTTGCTTGACCCACATTAGAAAGATTTTCTCCTATGTTATTTTCTTTCTTTCTTTCTTCCTTTCTTTTTTCTTTCTTTTCTTTTCTCCTTCCTTCCTTCCTTCCTTCCTTCCTTCCTTCCTTCCTTCCTTCCTTCCTTCCTTCCTTCCTTCCTTCCTTCCTTCTTCCTTCCTTCCTTCTCTCTCTCTCTCTTTTAAAGATTTTATTTATTTGAGAGCGAGAGCAAGCAGGGGGAGGGAGAGGGACAAGCAGACCCTGTAGTAAGCATGGAGTCTGACATGGGCCTGGATCTCAGGACCCCGAGACCATGACCTTAACTGAAATCAAGAGTTGGGCACCTAAACAACTGAGCCATCCCGGTGCCCCTCCTGTTACTTTCTAAGAGTTGGGTAATATTTTAGCCTTTATATTTAAGTCTTTGATTAGTTATTTTTTGTGACTAGGGTAAGGAAGGGGTTCAACTTTATTCTTTTGCCTCTTATATATTCGCTTGTCATATACCATGTGTTGAAAAGATTATTCTTTCTCCATTGAATTGTCTTGGTGCCCTTGTCATAATCAATGGCTGTAAACATCAGGGTTCATTTATTGACTCTCGAATCTATTCCATTGATCTGTGTCTATCCTTATGCCAAAACCCACTATCTTAATTATTGCAGCTTCGTAGCAAGTTTTGAATTCAGGAAGTATGACTCCTTCAACTTTGTTCCTCTTTTTTCAAGACTATTTTGGGTCCCTTGAATTTTCATATGAACTTAGGACCTGGCTTGTTAATTTCTTCAAAGAAGCCGTTAGAATTTTGATAGTGATTGGTTTGAGTCTATAAATCAATTTGGGGAGTATTGCCATTTTAGTAGTATTAAATCTTCTAATCTATGAACACAGAATATCATCCCATTTTTTTTAGATCTTTTTTTTTAAAGAGTTTATTTATTCATGAGAGACGCACACACACACACAAACACACACACGGTGCGGGAGGGGCAGAAACACAGGCAGAGGAAGAAGCAGGCTCCATGCAGGAAGCCTGACGTGGGACTCAATCCCACATTTCCAGGATCACACCCTGGGCTGAAGGCAGTGCTAAACCGCTGAGCCACCTGGCCTGCTTTTTATTTTTTGTTTTTTTAGATCTTTAATTCTTTCACCAGGTTTTGTTTTTCAGTGGACAAGTCATGGACTTCTTTTATTAAATTTATTCCCAAGTATTTTATTATTTTGATGTTCTTTATAGATGGATTTATTTTCTTAATTTCATCTTTGAATTTTTTACTGCTACCGTATAGAAATAGTACTGACTTTAGTATTCTATAATCTTGCTGAACTTTTCTTGACTCTTTGTATATCTGTATATCTAGAGCTTCCCCTGTCTTTGTAATAGGCACACAACAGTGTATGGTATTGAAAGCTGTCATTAACAAACCTCCACTGATGGACATTGTGGGCTGTTAGCTTTTCTTTTCTTTCTTTTCTTCTTTTCTTTCTTTTCTTTCCTGTTATTGATCATGCTAAAGAGAACATTCTTTGGGCCACTCAACCATTCTAGCGGTATGTATTGAGCACCCACTCTGTGCCAGGCACTCTTTGAGGCACTGGGGTTATAGACAATAAAAAAGTAAATGAGGTTTCAGCTTGGGAGCATCTCTGTGTAGAGTATAAAACAGAGAGATGTGCTAGGGAGTGCCTAGATGTGCATTTGGGAGGAATTCTTTGAATTCAGGAGCCAGAGAAGATTTTTCTAAGAGGGAACTTTTGAGCCAGGATCCAACTGATGAGAAAGAACCCACTGTTGGAAGGTTAGGGAGATTGTTCCAGTCACAGGGAATAGCAAATACAAAACCCTGGGGTGGAAATGGGCTGGCTCCCTCTGCTCACCAAACAGAAAGCAAGCCAGGAGGCCTGGAGAGCTGCCAAGGCCAGAGGAGAAGTGGGCAGGAACCAGACCAAGGCTGGCTTTTTGGCCTTACAAGCCATTTGCATTTTATTAATAATGTGGAGAGAAGTTGCAGGAGGGTGTTAAGCAGCAGAATGACTTGATCTACTCCGTATTCTAAAAAGATCACCCGAGTTGCTTAAGAAGCATTTATTTTCCCTGCCTTATTTCAAACACTGAGTTCTTCAAAGTGGAATTACTGGGTCGACGGGTTTGTACATTTAAAATGTTCTAGATGCTGCGTACCAAGTGCCTCCCCAAAAGATAGCTGTACTTTTCACTCTGAGGATGCCAGCTCTTTTTGTCACCAGGGCCATTCAGGGTGAGGTGCACAGTGAGCTCAGCTCCCCCCACCCCCTTTCCCTGGGCTTCAGCATCCATTGTCTTGCTTCTCTTGTAGGACCCACAGCGCTGCATTTGCCCTGCAATTCTGGCTGTACTGCCCACAGCTTGGGTAACACGGGCCTCCCGGGAACATGGCAGACGAAGACCTCATTTTCCGTCTGGAAGGTGTTGATGGTGGCCAGACCTCCCAGGCGGGTCACGACGGTGAGTCCGAGGCAGACAGCGACGATGAGGAAGGTTACTTCATCTGCCCCATCACTGATGACCCCAGGTCACACCAGGATGTCAATTCCAAGGTTAATAACTACTACAGCAACCTAACAAAGAGTGAGCAGTATGGCTCCAGTGGGTCCCCAGCAAGCTCCTTCCATTTTAAGGTGAGTGGACCAACCCATCCCACCCCAGCCCACCTGCTGCAAGAGATGGGGAGTTGGGGGGATCAATGGTTGGGGTCTTGCCCCCAACAGTGGACATCACTCTAAATCCCAGATTGGGGGATATGCCTATTAAATGGGGAGGATTTTGTTGGCTTAAACAAGTTTCGTTACTTTAGAGTGGTATTTTGTTTTGTTTTTTTAAAGATTTTATTTATTTGTCAGAGAGCAAGAGAGCACAAGCAAAAAAAAAAAGCAAAAAAATTTTTTTAAAAAATTATAAAAAAAAAAAGAGAGCACAAGCAAGGGGGAGTGGCAGGCAGAAAGGGAGGAGACTCCTTGCAGACCAGGGAGCCCGATGCTGGACTCAGTCCCAGTACCTGGAACTCGATCCCAAGACCCCGAGATCATGACCTGAACCGAAGGCAAATGCTTAACTGCCTGAACCACCCAGGTGCCCCTAGAGTGGTGTTTTTGAAATAGCTGCTCAGGACCCACTACTGGGTTTTGAAAACATAGACTTCTAAAAAAATGCAACAGAACAGAATAGGTTAGGAAATATTGGAGAGCACTGAAAATTGTAAAGATCTTATTTTTTGGAACATATACTCACACGTGTTCACATACGTAAATGTGATGACCTAGTTGGTTGTCGACATCTGAATTCTAATCACGTAAATATTTGTATTTCCCCCCTGATGTATGTGTGTGTGGGTCCAGGGACATGATTAAAAAATAACACTGCTTGGAGTTGGACATCCTTCTGGATTGAGGAAAGGGTACTTATTTTGTTAGGGATTTGTGTTCCTACCACGATAAAGCTGGTATAAAGGAGAGGAGGAAAGATGAACATTACTGGGCTTTTGTATAATAACTGGTGATGAAAAAAATTCCATTTATTTAGTTTAGTAATCTCTTTGCCCAACATGGGCTCAAACTCATAACCCCAAGATCCAGAGTCATGTGCTCTTTCAACTGAGCCAGTCAGACACCCTGAAAAAATTTTGAATGCAACAATGTTATCCTGATTTAATTTAATGCCCACCAACAGAAGGTATCTATTAGTGCTGTAAGCAAAATGTACATCACCAGTTTGGGATTTGGAATTGGAGCATTCTTCTCTAACTTCAGAATCAATCTATTTTTAGAAAATTAATAATTCTAGTTCTTGGACAGTGGGTATTTACTTCCTGTCGGGGCTGGAGTTCTAACTGAAGCCCCTGTGGGGCAGGCGGCTCTAGAAACAGCCCAGCGGGTCCCCTCTGAGATTGGGGGCCCCTGCAGGGTCAGCTTGTGGCTTGCCCCACTTTGCCGACCTCAGCCAGCCTCCGAAACTCACACTCAGCCCCACGGAGGGCAGTGTGGGAAGGACTGGGGAGCAGCCCAGTGCTTCTCTCTGTTTGCTGTGGGCCAGGGAGGCTTGGGGAGACAGAGATCCCTGAGATATCCTGTACCTGGTTTGAGGGGACCCAGGTGCCAGCAGAGGGCTTAGGGTTGAAGGGCTCAAGAAACAGACACCAGCTCAAGGGAAGAAGTGGTATTTATTATAACAGTCCAGGAATGTTTCTTGGGACCCAGGGGAAGAAACTGTGTCTGGTCTCTCAGGGGACGAGTCTAGGAACCGGAAGGCAGGAGGACTGTCTCTCTTTACCTGTCCTTCATTCTTCTCTGCCTCAGTCTAGCTAGTAGGAAAGTGGACCCCTACTGCCCTAGTGCCCCCTTATTACAGTTGGAGCCACATGCAAAGACAGATTTGACCCCCTCCAACCCAGTCGCTGGGGGCGAATATCTGGTTGGCCCAGCCTGGGTCAGGCATTCTCTGTCTGACCCAGTCATTTCTGACCCAGGCCATGAGATTGAGGGAGTGGGGGGTGGTGTCCCAGAAGAGGGACTGCTTCCAGGGAAGGAGGATCCTGGTGGCCTCCTAGTCGGGGGGTCAGACCTCATAGCTTCCTGTCCAGAGAAACCGTGAGCCTGGTGGGGGCTTTTTGGAAGACATTGAGAGGGCCCAGGAGCTAAAGAGTCTCAGGTATGGATGGCCAGCCCCTGACCACAAAATGTGACCACAGTGAAGCCTTTAAAGGAAGTGCAGACTGAGTCTGCCATTGAATGGAGATTTGTTTGCACCTGTGGCTTGAAGATGTGAGCCTCCCAAGGGCAGGACACTGTGGCCTCTTTATCTCTCATACCTAGTGCCAGGGCTGGAGCCATGCTCTGCACACAGTAGGTGCTTTATTCAGAATCAGGGAGGGGAGGGACACCTGGGTGGCTCAGCAGTTAAGCATCTGCCTTCGGCTCAGGGTGTGATCCCGGGGTCCTGGGATCGAGTCCCACATCAGGCTCCTTCCATGGAGCCTGCTTCTCCCTCTGCCTTTGTTTCTGCCTCTCTCTCTCTCTCTCTCTCTCTCTCTCTGTGTCTCTCATAAATATATAAAGTTTTAATTTTTTTTTTATTTGCGATAGTCATACAGAGAGAGAGAGAGGCAGAGACACAGGCAGAGGGAGAAGCAGGCTCCATGCACCGGGAGCCTGACATGGGACTCGATCCCGGGTCTCCAGGATCGTGCCCTGGGCCAAAAGCAGGCGCCAAACTGCTGCGCCACCCAGGGATCCCTAAAATAAAAAATACAGTTCCTATGGCATCTGGAGATAGCAGATCTCCAGAGAATCGTCCTCAGCCAAAGTGTTCCCACTGGAAGTACTATAGGCATTTGGGGAGGGACAGTTCTTTATTGGGTGGGACTATCCCATATATTGTAGGATATTCAGCATGTCTGCCCCCCACCCAATAAGTACTACTATTCTCCCCTGTTTTTTTTTTTAAGATTTATTTATTTATTTATTCATTCATTCATTCATTCATTCATTCATTCATTCATGATAGACAGAGAGAGGCAGAGACACAGGAGGAGGGAGAAGCAGGCTCCATGCCGGGAGCCCGACGTGGGACTCGATCCCGGGACTCCAGGATCGCACCCTGGGCCAAAGGCAGGCGCTAAACCGCTGAGCCACTTAGGGATCCCCTCTCCCCTGTTTTTATGGCAACCTAAAATGTTCCCTGCCATGTATTTGCAAAGCCCACACTAGGGGGTACCCACCTCAGTTTAGAACTGGTACAGAGGTATTTATATCAGCATCCAAATTTACATATGCAAAGATACTGTTTGTAATAAAAAATGGCAGTAGCTCAAATGTGCTTATTTAAATTATGAACTATGGTCTTAAGAGAATACTGTATTTACATTAAAACAAAGATGATGTTTTCATGTGATTTGACTTGAAAACAGTGCCATGGTGTGTGTGTGTGTGTGTGTGTGTGTGTGTGTGTGTGTGTGTGTGTGTTTGGGCGGGGGAGGAGGGAAGATCCATGAAAAGCCATAGGGCAATATGGACATAATTAGAATAAACAATGTTAGCTGTTTTTACTTTTATATACTGGTAAGTAAAAAAACAAGTTGAAATACAATACAGTCCCACATTTATCAAAAAAAAAAATATATACACACATCTTAGCATCTACATAGCAAAAACTGATGGAGGAATTTGTACCCAAGAGTTAACAGTGATTCTCTCTGGGGGAGAGGGTGCCATTATGGGGGACTTTATCCACGTTATATATATTTTTGAACATTCAGGAATTTTTAACTACATATACATATTGTGTGCAGAAAAGGACTTGTAGAAGAAGAAAAATAAAACAGCCAGGTAACCTCCCCTCTGCCAAACAAATCAATAAATTGCCCCTCCTCAAAATTTCTACAAGGCATAGTTCAAAATTCTCACCGAGGATGGGAGCACTCGTGGTCCCCAGGGACCTTTCTAGGCTCTGTTCACCCCACACTGCTCCTTGTTCCTAGAATAGGTTTCCCTTTTCACGCCTCTGCCTGCAACCTCTTTAAACCGATGTCTCAGTCTGGTCTGTTAAAATGATTGTCCCGGCTCCCTCAGGATGTGGTTTTAAGACACCCTGCCCTGGCTATCTCTTGTGCATCCCCTGGGGCATCTGTCATCCTCTGACTCAGCGGCGGCCTGCAAGGCTGGGAACTGATGGCTCTTCCCATCCCCTGTACTTGTAGAATGCCCAGTTATGGACCAGACATACCTCTCTTCATTGCCCACTGTCCTAGGTAACCGAAGGGCGGCTCTGTGGGGTTCCTGTTGCCTGTGGCAGCTTCAGAGGGGGACAGCAGCTCAGTTTTCCAAACCTCCCTCTCCCTGGTGCTCCTCCACAAAGCTCAAGTGTTTTTTTGTTTACTGTCGACATGGCAACCTGGGTGGTTCAACCAAAGTGGCCACCTCGAGTTCCTCCAAAGAGGCACCACCCTGGCAGGTACCAGGCATGTATTGTGAACAGTCCAGTTCTGTCACTGTCAAGGCCTTCCTCCTAGTTCCCTGGGGAATATGGCAGAGTCCTTCACTGCTGTCTTGAATGTCAGACAACCAAGCGAGGATGTTTATAGTTTACAATAATGTGGAAAAGTTGTAAAGTGCTTCTGCTATGGAGTTAAATTCAAATAGTAGAATATAGAGTACAGTTATAGCTTTGTAAAACACACTCACACGTGCATGCACACACATACACACACAACCAAAAACCCGCTAAGGAGGTATATCAATGCACCAAAAGGGATTGTCTTTGGACAGGATCTAGAACAATCATATTCCCTTTCTACTGCTCTGTCATTTTTTCATTGCCTAGAATGAGCATATATATGTTTTTAATTTTTTAAAATTTTTTAATAAAACGGGAAATTTTATTTTTATTTTATTTTTTTTTAAAGATTTTATTTATTTATTCATGAGAGACACAGAGAGAGAGAGAGAGAGAGGTAGAGACACCGGCAAAGGGAGAAGCAGGCTCCATGCAGGGAGCCTGACATGGGACTCCATCCACGGTCTCCAGGATCAGGCTCTGGGCTGAAGGTAGCGAGCGCTAAACCTCTGAGCCACCCGGGATGCCCGGAAATTTTATTTTTAAAAACTGTTTTCCTGGTCTGGGTGTA